CACCTATGATCGAAGACACCTAATCTTTTCATGTCTTCCGCTCTCAATGGCCAGGTCTCACAGCCATAAAGGAGGACGGAGCGGACTGTTGAGCAGTACACACGCCCTTTGGTCGATAGTCGGATATCACGTCTACGCCAGAGACGGCGTAAACTAGCATATGCGAAACTAGCCCCCTGTATTCGTGCTGAGATTTCGTCGGAGATCAACCCGTATACAGAGGGCTAGTTTCGCATACCATAATAATAGGTATGTACGACACAACAGCAGTACATATTTATAAGCTTCAACTCTATAAACCAATGGGAAATCATGACCAGCGGAGCCCACCAAGATATGCGCGAAGATAGATACTCACCGATGACATTGGCTGGTGGTGGTCGCGCTATATATCGCTAACTGACAGGAATTAGAGTTGACGAACCATTGGATTTCATCCCAGTGGCTCATTGGTCAATAAGCTTGACCTCCTAACCTGAAGGTCCTGGGTTTGATCTTCCGTATGGTGACAAGCGAGTAATGCTAAAGAGTCGCATACAATGATGAAACCACTGTCCAATACTCCCCGGTTTTCAATCGTTCTCTAACTGGATTCGCTTCGTGATCAAGCTTAAAATCAATCAAACTCCTGAGAACCAGAACTTGGAAACTAAAGTGTATTAGAAATTTGTCGTTTCGATAATTAAACTCTTAAAGGCCTAAAACAAATCTGATAAAGCCAAGTGAATTCATAATATTATCCTCATTGATGGAAATATACAAACCATTCTACACTGTCAGGTATGCCAACTTTCCGACATACATGAGAATTAATCACACGATCTAGAGGAAAGAAATTTATGAAAGTGAAAGATTGAATGTCCACAACCAGTTTCCAGTAAGAATGATGTGATGTTCACAAATTTCGACACATAAAGTATTAGTTCTTGGGTGCAACTAGAACGCTTATTCTATACTATCAATGCATTAAAATATGCATATATTTAAGTATTATGTTAAGTGAACGATCCACCTATCGCCTAAATATGTAATTTGCCCGATATCACAAATGACAATCAAGAAAACAAGCGATATGGCTAAATTGGCTAAATGAGTTTCAATACAGAACTGTGAACAGAAGTGTAGAGCAGTCCAAATGGCCATGTAGCGGTAAATAATTCCCCAAAATTATTAACCACAGCACTCATCACTGAACATCGGATACTGACCCTCACTATTTAAGTCGACTTGTTTAGCTGAAGGCTTCTGGTCAAGCATCCACGCCATTTGGTACTCCGTCGTGTCACGTTCGTGCACGATCACCAGCTAGCTAAGCAATCATCTTGCACTCCGGTTTGGTCCCGATATATACCTCGTAATTTGGACGATCAACTGTGGTGTTTTGCTTTACTTTTGGTTTACGCGGAACGAATACATTAGAAGTTGTTGGTATTAGATCTTGCGTTAGTATACTTCGTACTATCCGTGAACGTCAATACCACCAGCCTCTAAAGGCACACTCCAGATGCCACACAAAGGTAGGTACATGAAAGAAAAACGGATTCAAAAGAAGAGTAATAAGCAGAAATATGTGACAGAAAGGACAGTTACATGGAAAAACATCAGGGGTTAATACATATGTAGGGTGTGGAGGCCGGTTTATTTATTTACATAGATCTACACAAACCGTAGCGCAAGTTTGTATTTTTGTCATTTCCCTTCGCGTATAAACGGGCTTAGGCGGTTTAGTCGGCCCCAATTAATCGGTGAGCCCAACGTGATCAGTAAAAGCAACGGTTCCGGTAGTCTCTCCAGACTTCTAAGAGAGGGATCCGTATGGAGTCCAAAAAATATCAAATTATACGTTCATTGTAAAATAGTAAAAACAATGAATTCACTGCACATCATGGGTGTTAGTTGATATATTGAATAAGGACTCTATCTTGTTCACCACGCACTACGGATTATACAACTTCTCTACTCTAGCTTTTTGCTTCACACTATTACCAGTCATCGCTGGCCGGTGCCTAATCAGTATATCCACGTTTTGGATCTTTTGTTTCAACCTCCTGTTCGCAAGCACCTCTCGGACTGTTGGCATACCCTTGCGGGGAGTGAGCGACTGCACATCAAAAGGACTACTTCTTTGCTTCGACTCCGTACGTCTTTATTTGTGTATTTTGCAAAAATTATAACTCCTATCTTCTTTCCAACCTAATTTTATGTCAGGAAATATTGCTCGGTAAGGAAGTCTGTGGATCGATATGTGCAATCGATTCACCTTCACAACCTCACCGATTGACTTACCTTTCTTACCAGACACTGTACGTCTAACACCAATATTACTCACCATGTTAGGTTAGGCGACGAGTGCTAGGTAGGGAGGGGAAATCAATCGACGAGATTGTGAAGTTACACTAATTGAGATAGTTAGGACATGTGTTACGTATGCCTAACCAGCGCCTTCCTCGGCTGGTAATGTTAACTGACATAGGATCAGGTTGGAAAAGAGCCTGTGGTGGTCAAACCAAAACATGGCACCAATCAATGAAATCCACAACAGTTAATCTAAGCCACGTAGGAAGATGTAGACTTCCTGGTTGGGGCCCTCGGGATGGTAAAAACCAATGGTTGGAAACAATTGGTGACATGGCTCAAAATCGTTCTCAGTGGCTAACGCAGATGCATCCACTCCTTGTGACTTATGATTTCCAATCAAAACTTTTGTTCTCCGTTATTACTATTCCTTTGTCTCACACCTCTGTTTACTGTCTATATTATGCATTTCTCCTACTTTCCTCTCTTGCTTTGCGTGCTACATAGATTGTGGCGACTTGAACTGCCGCACATATGTGCAAAGTTCTATGTCGAAAACCGACCGACCGACCGATCCAATAAAACTCTATTGTTCTTCGATACTACTATTCTTTTTGCCTCATATCTCGGTTTGCTGTCGCTATTTTGCATTTCGTTTTACTTTCTTCTCTTGCTTTGTGCACTAAGTGAAGTGTGGCGACTCGAACGGCTGCACATCTATGCAAAGTTCTACTTTGAAACCAGTCATTCATTACTCACCACGTTACGCCGCTAAACACGGGAAACAGAACGCAGACACCTGTGGTCAGAGGTAGCTGGCCTTTTCAAATCTTCCAATGTCAATGACCACGTCTCACAGCCTTAAAGGAGGACAAGACGATATGCTGCGGAGTAAAAACATCGACGTCAAAGATGAAGTTATTTGGCTAATACTACAGGAGCCTTTTGTATCTGTTTTGAGGATTTTTCCCCAATGAAGCAAGTAAATTTATGCGGAGATTTCCTTCATCTCATCACATGCTAATCAATTGCACACTTCTGCTATCACCGGAGTCCTTTTCGCCCTAACGTCTAAATACATCTTGATTCGCAACAGAACTGCTCGTGACAATGCTCTAAATCAATGCCTAAAATCCTTATTCCACACAAAAGTCGGAAATCCCAGGCCATCAATGTTTGTTGTGTTTTTGAGGCAAATATAAAAGACCTAAGTGGATCATTCAATTTCAGAATAACTGTTTGCTACATTCATTACTGTGGGAAGTGCTTGCCGTTAATTTCCAGTCATTCACTTCTAACCTCTTGCGCAACTCAAACAAATAGTTCCATGTACATAAATACCCGAGAGTATCACTGGCAAGTTCTACATCCCGCAACACTAAACGCTGCTGCAGAAGACAGGAACTGGCAACCGCACCAACTATTCAGGACTTAAGATCGCGAAATAACAGCAAGTCATAAAACAGCTCAGATTTATTTCACAGACTGCATGGTACCCACAACTATGCTGCATGCAGGACTGAACAAAATATAATAATACGAGTTCGTAACCAAATATTTGATGTTTAAAAGTTCAAATCAACCTGCATTGGGGTCCCTAGATGGTACATTAGCACGAATAAAAAGTCGTGGAGCAGGTATAACAAACCACATTACCAAAACTACTAGATACCACCGTTGTCATTCGTAAATGTTACATGACTGTGTGCTTACACTACTAGTCGTTCCCACAAAAATGAAAAATACCTGTAGGTTAACCGACACCTGAGAAGACTAGTGAGTACAGCTTACAAAGTAAATAATCTAGCGTTTCTTGTTGCTATTTCCTCTGTATTAAAATAAATCCTTCTGAACACCCAAGAGATTATTCCAAATCTCAATCGTAAATACGCAAGACCACAGGTGTTTAGAGGCTATAAGTGTTCCACGAAAGATCACATTGTCACCTGATTAAACAGATAATTCTGTGAAGCATTTGAAAACTAAACAAAACACATACAAATATCTTTCTAGAGTTTCATGACACAGTCGCTTCTTTGTTTCCCAACGTTCAACATTATTGCAAAAGAATTAAGACCGCGATTTGTAATAGTGAATCTAAGAGGTACTTCTGCTTTAAGCATAAAGCAGATTTGTTGGGACTTCCAATTCTGAGTATACGCTACTAAATCGCTTGTCAAACCAACATCTTACATTCCTGCTTATTAGAGTAGACGAGGAATCATTGCCAACTCAATGGGTGCTCGATTCAATCCTAGGATGCCCGTTAATTAGATAACTTTCACATGCCACAAGTGGACTTTATTTTGGAACTAAGAAGTAAACTGGAGTAGCCACGAAAGAATGTCGAAATAACGACCATGTTACTCGCCTTGACTTCTCAACGAATGCTTGATTTATGAAAAGTGACGAATAGAGACCATGCAAAATTTCGCTTCAAAAAACATACCGCCTACTGAATATTATTCTCTAAACGCAGAAAAGCGACCGGGTAGGAACTGATGTTAACTGAAGACAACCGGCCTTACAAGATTGATATTAATCAAATCTTGAGCTGTCAAAAACCTAGTAGTTTCATCCCCTATGTATAGGCGCGCTTACTCTTACATGAAAAAGGACTACGCACTTAATTCACTGACGACAAAGAACAATAACGCAGTACACTATTACTTACGTGTAAACATTTAAGAATTAAAAAGGAAAAACAGTGTATCACCATACTTTTATATCAAACAAGTAAAATAAGGGAAGAAAACACAGTGGGGAAATGTACAACGGGATCAAAAACAAAATTCACCTACAGTTCATCCTTTTCTTGATCAGGTTGAGGAGGTGGAGTACCTGACTGTTGGTACAAGGAGGAAATGATTGGCTGGACAACCTCGTCAAATGCTTTCTTCTTCTGTTTCAATTCCTCAACTTCTGCTTGTGGGTTACTGTCCAAGAAAGCGATGGTTTCTTCTATAATCTTTTCCATTGTCTTTTTATCATCTGGTTTCAACTTTTCTCCAAGCTGATTCTTATCACCAATTTGTGCCTTTAGAGTATAAGCAGCACTCTCAAGTTCGTTTCTGGCATCGACGCGCTCTTTCAGTTTCTTATCAGATGCTGCAAATTGTTCAGCATCATTGATCATCTTCTCGATTTCTTCAGGATTGAGACGGTTTTGTTCCTTATTGATCTCAATTTTGTTTGATTTACCTGTTCCTTTATCTTCCGCTGATACTCTCAATATGCCGTTTACATCGATTTCGAAGGTAACTTCAATTTGTGGAACACCACGTAGTGCTGGAGGAATACCAGTCAAATCAAATTTACCAAGGAAATGGTTGAACTTTGTCATTGCTCGTTCACCCTCGAATACTTGAATGGTCACAGTAGGTTGGTTATCGGCAGCTGTAGAAAATATTTGCGATTTCTTTGTTGGAATAACTGTATTTCTTGGGATGAGTTTTGTCATTACACCACCAACTGTTTCAATACCCAGTGTCAAGGGACAAACATCCAGCAACACAACACCTCCAGTATTTTCTACACCACCTATAACACCACCCTGTACAGCTGCACCATAAGCGACTGCTTCATCAGGATTAACTCCTCTGTTTGGTTCTTTGCCGTCAAAGAAATCCTGCAGTAGTTGCTGGACTTTCGGAATTCGAGTGGATCCACCAACCAAGACAATCTCGTCAATCTCTTCTTTCTTCATACTGGCATCTTGCAGGACCTTCTTAACAGGCTCCAAAGTCCTCGTGAATAAATCCATATTTAACTTTTCAAATACGGCTCGTGTAAGAGTTTCAGAAAAATCCTCACCATCAATCAGAGATTCAATCTCAACTCGCACAGTTTGCATTGTACTCAAAGTCCTCTTCGCCTTCTCAACCTCACGTCTCAACTTCTGTACAGCACGTTTGTCTGTTTTAATATCTTTACCTTTTTTCTTAAGAATCAACTTTGCGAAATGATCAATAACACGTTGGTCAAAATCTTCCCCACCCAGATGTGTATCACCATTCGTGGCAACCACTTCAAACACTCCATTCTCAATGGTGAGCAAAGAAACATCGAACGTACCACCCCCAAGATCAAAAACGAGGATATTCTTCTCACCTTCCTTTTTGTCCAAACCGTAGGCAATTGCAGCTGCAGTTGGTTCGTTAATAATACGAAGCACATTCAACCCTGCAATGGTACCAGCATCTTTTGTTGCCTGACGTTGAGCATCACTGAAGTAGGCTGGCACAGTAACTACGGCATGTGTCACCTTTTTACCCAAATATGCTTCAGCACTTTCTTTCATCTTTCCTAAAACCATAGCAGAAATCTCTTCTGGAGCAAACGACTTTGTTTCAGCACCAACTTTCACTTCAACATAGGGTTTATTCTTTTTGTTGACAACTTTGAAAGGGTAGTGCTTAATATCGTCTTGTACTGACTGCTCATCAAAAGTTCTTCCAATGAGTCTCTTGACATCAAAAACTGTGTTCTCAGGGTTGGAGGTAAGTTGGTGTTTGGCAGCATCTCCAATAAGCCGTTCACCTTCCGTAGTGAATGCCACATAAGAAGGAGTAATCCTATTACCCTGATCGTTGGCGATTATTTCCACTCTTCCACCCTGAAATACCCCGACACTAAAACCGGAAAATGATAACAAAATTTATCTTACCATGAATATGTAGTTCCTAAATCAATGCCGATAACAGTTCCATAATCTTCTTTCTTTTCTTCACAAATAACGACACAAAAGAGGTAAGATAACAACAAAAACCATGGAGACCTCATGATGGTAGGTCCACTGTTCGCGATAAACACAATTGTCAACGGACGTTGCTTAAATTACTATAGTAGTCTATGTGGATAAATGTGATTGGCTGATGTGATATACGTCATTCTTGAAGAGTATTCAAACAAATTCATTGGGTACAATAAAGTATAATATTTATTCAACAAAATGAGTGTTTCTCTGTGGTTGAATAGTTATTCTTGAATAATTTTCGATATTGTTTGTTCATAGTGATATAGTTCAGGTTCAAATCATCCATAAACGAGGAATGTAACAATGAAAATAAAAGTGACAGTGTCCACTCCTACTCACATTAGTCATTATGTTTTCAGCTATTAGAGGAATAGCACTATCCCTGTCACCTCTAAGATTTGGGAAAGAATAGATGATATGTTGGCTATAGTTGTTTTAGAAAACAATAGCATTGCATAGTTTTCAAGGAGGTGTCTCTATTGTGAAATATCTTCCTACATCAAAAGTAAGCCCAGTTAACATTAGACATGTCGAAAACCTATCTTCACATTCTTCACAGATTTTATTGAAGAATCTGAAAGAGAGTCTAGTTCAGCCCCTCTTGAAACTGGGTTACTTTTGAATCATAAGCAGCCCAATCACTGGGATCGAATAAACTGTTGACATGAAAGTAAAGAAAAATTTTAGATTTCCCTCTAGAAGACCCATAAAAAGCGGAATACAGTAGAGCTTATTACCTGTCACTTAATTTGTAATCCCGTATGTCAGCGTATGGGTTGTCCTCCTCTATCCTATTTCATCAGTGTTTAAAGGCTACAGAATGCTTAAAGCGATCAGGATATATATGCACAGCCTACTCAAATCGGCTATACTTCACCTTGCTCGAGAGTGTGGTCCAGATTTGACACCTTCATGCAGCACAAAACTCCGTAGTTTACAAAGTCTGACTATGATATCTCATTCATTATTTCTCCCGTTTATCATTTTTGTGGGACACCTATCAAGTTATGTCATCACTCAGAAATCTCCTAATACACACCATTCTATCAGACTACACGAAGTTCTGCTTTTTATATTTCTCTATTCCCGCCTGGACATGTTTGCCAAAAGTCAACACACAAGTAGCTAATACTCTATATTATCTAGAAAAGTTACAGGAGTTCATATACTAATGCTAACCTTATGTGGGATATTTTCGGTAATTCTTCCCCTAGGGAGGGTGAAAAGTTTTCCACTTTTAATCATCATCACTTAGTTATAATACTCCAAAGCAAATCGCATATTTGAGGAGGGTTTCGCTAATAAATGCCTGCTCTCTCTAACCAGGTCTAGGAATTAGTGACTACGAGTTGACGTCGTGAATGTATTTAGAACCTTTTCAACAAGATATTTCCCTTTGACGAACTTTGACCAGTCCCTATGCCACCTCAAGATAAATTCAACATATCTTGCGTGGTTTCAAAAGTTTTTCTTAAAGATATGTAAGATTTAGTGTCGTCTGCATTAATCTGCGTTTATTTGAACTCATAGATTATTGCTAGTCTGTTCAAACGCATATAGACCATCATTCAGTAAAACTCCTGAGCTTCCACATAATACCGTCTTGCCTTAAACCATCAGTTCTGCTCTCTTGTTACTTGAAAATTGGCAGTCTGCAATCATTTTTTCACTATTTAATTATGTATAAGCAAGTCTTGCAGAAAGCTGGGTTCACAGAAGTGGCTTTATAAGTTCACCCGATACCACACACAGATCACGTTGGGTTTGGTTTATCTGAGGGTTGTCATTGGCTGTATTGGTTAATTTAGAATACTTGCGCAGTTAGTCTTTATGTCTTGAAGTCAGAAACCGGCTTAAAAGTAGTGGCTTTGTGGTGAGAACTGGCTGCTAACCAAAGTTGGTAGACAGTAATTGACGTCATTGTTTATGTCCCCAATATTGGTGGTGAGAAAATGAGAACAAAGGCTTTGAGTAGGCGGATACATTAAGCATATTGATGATCTGACACAGCCACGAAGGGATGTAAGGTTAACTTTTTGTGAGAAACAATCAATCAAAAGACTGTATTTTCTGCTAACAATAATCTACAATAATGTACATTAAAGTCTATAAATATGTGTTGATTTTCCTTAATAAACGATCTGTTGCCTGGCCCTTGTCTTCTGCCGTTACAGCTTTATTTCAAATTTCTTGTTTTCAGGCTAACAGAATGGGATTTATTCCGTGCTACCGGGAGACTGATGGTATTCGTAGAGCATTTGTTTACTGCTCCTTCATGTTCAAATTTCCATTTCGCAGTTAATCTCAGGAGCCATCACTGGTCTTCTTTGTGTTGGAATTCTAAGCAGTTTCATAATAATCGCTTCATAAGGTGGGCACGTCAACTGTTGCAAAAGAAATAGGGAGAGCCCAAAAATGACATAAAACATTGGAGAAAAAGAGAGTTTATAACAGCTAAATAAGTAAATATTCCTTTTAGTAAGATCAATTAGAATTTCCTCCTGGAAAGAATGACCACAAGAATAATAAGTGAACTGGGAAGTTTAACTGCTTTAGTAACATGGGATTCGGGACACAAGGAAGATGAGTATTCCTATTTCATCGCACATATCATGTTCCAGTTTCGAACGCTAGCATGGAATATATTTACTTCACAAATGATGAGCCTAGTAGGGAGTAGCTTAAGGGAATGGGGTGTTGCCAGCTACTGAAGTGTGCCCTTCAGAGGTTAACCATGAGCTACCAGAAAGTTTGATGCTCTCAGTTTTTGATAATTATGCAGGATTTGAATAAGGCATTAAGAAGACAAATTTCGCGAGATGATATCATTTCGTAGTTTCTTTACAACCGCTTTGCAAAACGGGATATAGAGTACAACTTTAGTGTTTAAAAGCTGAAATATTACGGGCAACAGATAGGTCTCTGCTAAGTACGAGTTTGGAGGGAGACACCTTGTTTGGCCGATCCTTACTTTGAACAGGTTCATCACTATTTAATGTTGTTTCACGAAGAGATAATCTCTGACCACGTATACCAACTTACCTTGTCAAATAAAAAGTCGCGGACTTATTTAGTGTTTATCGAGTTGGTGAGAACTCCTGTAGTGATTTTGCCCTTGCAAAGTTTCTGATTAGATTCCGTTCATTTGAGACCTTTATTTTAGTGTGGTGAAAGTCATGAAAATTCCAGCGAAGTGAAGTGAAGGGGTGTTATGTACACTCACTTTTATTTTCATATGCCCTTAATCCCATGTTCACGTGAAGTGATATGTTTGGCATATCAGTTGACCTTATCTCTTTCAAATAATGCCTACCAAGAGATACTAGACCGATACCTAGTCTGTTGGCTGGTTCTACCTTTTTAAATGTCTCTGTGTATTACACACACATTATTATGTACTAGCTGCAATTGTTACTTAGGACAGTAAGAGCAATTCCCAACCGCTCGTTTATGCCTTATTTGACCGCGGCAACATTGCTGATGTGGTGGTTGACGTCGCATTTGCGAATGTCTTCGATACTTCCAGCCCAGGTCATCACACAAAGACAGAAACTAGTGCCTTATTCTCAGAATGCACTTGTTTATCCTATCAAAAGCTGAACAGAAATTAGGAAGGAGAATTAGAATGACATTTGTCTTTTAACTCACTTTTAACACATAACTCTAAAAATATCTCTGACATTCTGGAATGTTACCTGGAGTGACAAATGTGTTGCCTAAAAATGAATCAAACCAAAGTTGGGTTACGATTGTACTATCGCCTCCATCTAACACTTAGTTTAGATGCTACCATAAAACGTGTTTAAACTTGGTCCACCTGAAGAAAAAATTAAATATCAAGAACTAATTAGAGCTAATAAATTCAAAGGGACAGTTTGGAAAGATCTAACCCTTCAATAACTGTAAGTGTTATATACTGCCTTTGGTAGTTGGATGGGTGTTAACAACAGCCTAGCTAACAGGTTTCTTGGGGAACCACCTGCTCATCAATATCAGAACCAAAGGTCCTCACATTGGAGTAGGTGGACGAACTACACGTAAAAATGGAGTGGAACCTAAAAGGAGCAGTAAAGCTGCGATGAGCCTCAAAGTTAATAAGAGCACTCCTAGAAAGTCTGTTGATCCCACACACATAGTAGACGTGGATGATCCCATTATTCATAACCTGCAAATATTGACAGTCACATTCCACCTAGGGCCAAGCAAGATAGTCTCACAGTAGAAGCCGGAAAATGTTACCAAAACTCAGCATCACTCCACAGGCGTCCATATGTCTCCCTTGTGACAAGCCCAACAAGCACTATGTAACCCTAAAAAAAGAACTATGAACACATTGTGACAGGTCCCATAAAGGAGACGGAACACGTGAGTGGAAGTGCCTTCCAAACCAAGAGTAATAGACAATACATGAGGTGAGAGCTAATAGCTAAAATAGCTTTATCCACACAAAATCACACACTGGCAGACACGCAAGGGGCACCGAGCTGATTAAACGACAGAATGAGATTTACTCAATAGCCGGGGTTGTAATATGCATATGGGCACATATAACCTGAGAACGGGGCCAACAATGAATAATAAAAACGCATGGGCGACTAGACTGACCACCACGAGGTACCATATGAAAGGAAATATATTCTCGAACTCTCGTAGTAGTTACGCAAAGCCCCATTGCTATAACGGGTATAGATTGGCTCACGGTCCTTCTATGTACACGCACGAAATGAGTCAACAAATGTACAACTACGAAAGACCTAGCACGCACTACCCTCGAAACAACCTAAAAACAGGGTACTTCGGACATGTAAATTACAATCTGAACAGTGAAACAGACTACCTAATGCCGAGAAATGATTCCAGATGCCCACATAACGATGCAAGAAACCTGTATATGCAACAAGATTATTGTCGACTGCAGCAAACAATAGCCTCTCTCAGCACAGTTTGTTCAGGGAACAGTAGACACTCTGACACTGTCTCATCTGAGAGTCTCTCCGAACATAACATAGACAACCAGGAGTTAGAGATAGTAACAAAAACACCTGCTAACTATCCTCCCAACAACCATAGTTTTCTGAAAACTATGCTCCTAAATGCTCGATCTCTCCTTAACAAAACAACCTCA